CAGTGGTATTTATTTTCAGAAGTTCACCCTTGGAGGGCCTTTCTCCCCAGGTGATAATGCTCATGGTGCTGTCCTCACATGCTTGTAGCCAATGCAAGGGCCCATCTCCCACCCCCCCCCCCCCCCCCCCGCCCCGCCCCAAGTGCACAAAGTTTTGTGCACCAGGCCTCTAGTATATATATAAAAGGCTAAAATGCTAAGTGTCCAACCGACCAACTGGTTGCTATGACACGCACTGACCACCAGGGGGCAGGAGCTGCCGAGTTGCAGTGATTTGGCAACAGCGGTTTTCGGGTGACACACCATGAAACCATAGAGGAAGAAGCCCGATTCCTTGAAGGGCCACGTGATTCTACCTTCGGCTGTGGGTTATGTTGTTGCTGGGGCACTGTTGGTGCCGAATCTGGTTTAATGCACACTTGCATTTGCATTCCACACCTTCTAATTAATTTTCTTTCAGTGTACACAAATCTGTGCACTAGCCCTCCTATCCTATATAATAAAAGAGTAATACACAAATCGACCAAACTGCGGAACGACTGGTTGCTATAACGCACACTGACCACCAGGGGGCAGATGCTCAATACAGGAGCTGCCCCCTGGTGGTCAGTGAGCTCCCACAGCGGGGGCTCCAGGGTGTGTCCAGCCCGTCTCGCTCAGTCCCAATCAGCCAGACCCCAACAGCAAGCTAACTGATCAGTCAGAGCATCTGCCCCCTTGGTGGTCAGTGCATGTCATAGCTATTGGTCAACAAGTCAACTGCCCCCTGTGGTCAGTGCACGTCATAGCAACTCTCTGCCCTCTGGTTGGGTCAGCGCACATCATAGTGAGCAGTTGAGTGGCCTTAACATATCATTAGCATATTACACTTTGATTCGTTGAACGGATGGCTGGACACTTAACATTGTAGGCTTTTATTATATAGGGTAATATACTGTATGGATATGCGACATTTGGTTTATTCATGAGTTGATGGACATTTGCATTGTTTCCACTTTTTTTTTCTATTATGCATAATGCTGCTATGAACATACACATTTTTGTGTGGACCTATGTTTTCATTTTTCTTTGGTTGTATAACTAGGAATAGACTTACTGGTTCACGTGTAACTTTATGTGTAACATTTTGTGGATTGACAGACTTTTCTTAAGTGATCCTTATTTTTTTTAATTGATGTTCCCCCTTACTGAGTATCTCTTATTTAGTCAAAATAAGATTAAGAGCTGACTCTGCATTAGAACAATATTATAATATATAGTTTCTGAAATAACTAAAAATACACCCATTAAGCGGAATTTTTTTTTGAGATGTTCATAGTGCCTTATGGGCATCTTTTACTAACTTTGATAGCCTTGTGTGTACATTAGAATAGGAATATTTTCAGCTAAGGAAATGACAAATTACTGTAATGGAAAGTCATACTTTCTCCTCACTTGTGACTTACGCCAAGTCTCACATGCCTGTATTGAGATAGAAACATCTTTTATTATCCTTAGAGCACACTAGGATGGCCTATTTTATGTATTTATTAATTACATATATGTCTGTGTCTCTTGGAACACTTAATTATGCACATTTCTAAATATGGTTCTATGTTGTACTACAGCAAATTTTAAGGCAGTACTGTTTTTTGGTTTGTTGTAATGACATCATCTGTTTCATTGAAAAGTCTCGCAAGAAGAATGAACCAGTGCTGTCCAGTGAATTTCATTTAATCCAGTATTACCATTGTAACATGTAATCAATGTTCAAAAATGAAATCGTTTATATTTTTTCATACTAAGTCTTCAAAATCTAGTTCATATTTTACACATACACCTATCTCAGTTTGGACAAGCTATTTATCAGGTGCTTAATAGCTGCCTGTGGCTGTCTACCTTATTGGACAGCGCAGATATAGAATATAGCATATAGAGTGAAGTAATTGTAGCATTTTTTGGTTTATGATCTAACATTCTTTCAAAATTATGAAGAGTACAAAGTCCTAGAGCTTCGTTTAATCTGATCTCTAACTTTGTGACCTTGGGAAAATCAGACTTAGGGTTCTTGTTTCTCTAAAACAAGAGGTACTGTTTCATGAGTGTTGTGTAGTTTAATAGGTTGTCAGGAAGATGC